GCGCGTGTGGAATCCCCGTGTCAGCGCGTGTGGAATCCCCGTGTCAGTGCGTGTCCAATCCCCGTGTCAGCGCGTGTCCAATCCCCGTGTCAGTGCGTGTGGAATCCCCGTGTCAGCGCGTGTCCAATCCCCGTGTCAGTGCGTGTGGAATCCCCGTGTCAGCGCGTGTGCAATCCCCGTGTCAGCGCGTGTGGAATCCCCGTGTCAGCGCGTGTGGAATCCCCGTGTCAGCGCGTGTGGAATCCCCGTGTCAGCGCCGCGTGCTGTCCTTATGTCAATACCATCATAACCCCAACGAGCGGCAGAACCTCTGCCAATGTTGACCACACTGATATATAAAACACAACCTACAAAATGCAAATGACTAGATGTGAAACTCCTACTGGTGTTAACCCTTCTTATGCACTTGGGCAAAGTTTGACCAGAGAAGTCTGGCATCGCTACGCACTTTTAGTCTTTTGGGAAGGAGACTCAGCAGGAGAGGAAAGGTGTGTCTCGTGTGTTGTATCTTCCTGCGCATGCTCTTCCGGGACTGCTGGCCTTCCCGTGCCTTCCAAATACTCTGTGAAGAGACATTGCAGAGGTTATGCGCTGGAATTCATGTGTGTTAAAATTCAAGAGCTACCACAAATATACCCTAGGTTCTTACAAGAAATAAAAGGAAACTGAAACAAACCCAAAAAATGTATGCTAAGCTGTTAGCTTAATAAAGCATTTAAGTAAAAATATTGTTTCCTTAAAGACAGGCATGTCGGTTGAAGACATAGAGCCTCTTTAATCTTGTTCAATGTTTTCTATTTCACAATTCAAAGTTCCCCAAAAACGCTATGAATAGATGCCATCACGAAAACAGAGACGTTCAATTCAGAGGACTACAACCAACTGCTTGGGTAACAGAAGCGGATGAAATGGGTGAACGGTGGTGCTCTGAGTGTAAAAGATAAACTTTACTCACTACATTTTATTCATAATAGAAAAAATATTAATTCCTCTCATTCTTGAAATGATGTCCTGCAGATTTTTCTTTTTCATTTTCTGTGATAGACATAATAGCAAGGATGACACGCAAATTCACGGTTCTAATTACCTGGTATAACGCTTAATCCTTACAAAGCTGATACATTCACTAAATTCGTAGGGTCTCTATATGTGGTGGGATTGCTGTGGTATTTGAGATCTGAGACCGGAACTCAGCATGTAGCCCAGGCTAACCTTGAACTTATGAACCTCCTGGCTTCATGCATTCTGGGATTACAGGCATGTACCACCACACCTAGCACTATCTTAATTTTAAAGTTGACAATTTAAAAACAGGAGTGTTATTAACTTGTTCCGCTAATAAGTGATAGAGCCAGATAGAAAAGGGACGTGAAAAAATGCCACTTTTGTAATCATAGAGGAAACTACATTAAATACAGTGATAAATGTCAAAGAACATCCTGCCTGGATGGCACAGGAAAACAGACTGTGAGCAGAACATGTTTCATAAGAGAGCAGGTGCTCCATGTAAAAGTTCAACACTTACATAGGACAGAAGCCTGCGTTTTCACAGATGCCAACATTCTGAAGATTCAGCTACAATTCTGGATTTTTAAAAAATGTTGACAGCTAATTGGGTTTTTATGGGGACGGTGCTGGTAAAATATGTGTGATCTGAAGAAAACAGCTGTTAAATGCCAAAAGCATTCAGGGCCTATAGAGCTGGTTTACAGCCTTCTTCTAATGGATGAGACATGATCTTCTCCCACTGGGATCCTTTGCTTGTATTCTTAATTCAGAAAGAATCTGCTCCATAAGAATCCACTTCCGAAAGTTCATGTTGTAATATCAGCCGATTGTGTCCCCCCCCCCCACCATTAGAAGTATTTAGATCAAGGGACAACCCCACAAGGCAAATTCTACTAGGGAAAGAAAGCAACCTGCAGAATTTTATCCTAGAGATTTCTAAAGCATGCTGGGACTATGTAAATTGAAGTAGCAATTTTATAAAAACTTGTAATTTGCAATTATACAAAACTTTTTATTAAATTTAAAGAGCACAGTGACTTGACATCCAAGAAAGGAGGAATATAAAGTATTTGCAGTGATATGAAATAGTCAAGTATGTCCTAATATGCTCCAATGCAAATTGGCACACCTAATCACCTTGGCCTTTAAGAAAGCAGACAGTTTGCGCCTACAGAATATTTTTATCACACTGAACCAGTGTAATATGTTTAAAATATGTATAAATATATCTTGCCCCATTTTTGTAAGAAAGTTTCATTTTACTTTCTCCAAAAGATATATCACAAACTTCGAGATTTTTTTAAAGTTGACTTAAAGGCAAAAAAGTCTAACCTAAAATACAAGTGTCTTGAGGGCAGAACATAGATTAAAAACTAATTATATCACTCTTCTCTTTAGCTTTCATTCAACTTGATTCAACTAGCATTAATATGAAAAAGTCATATTTGGATTCTCTGGTTTATTTACAGGTATTCTAATATGCAATTAGCTTATTTATAATTTTGACAACAAAATTATAGTGACCAAAACTTCCTTTGAAGGTATTAGAAATAAGTTGAGAAAAATAAAATCATAATAAACATTTACTCCGTAGACTCATTGTGGCTTTCGTTGACTCCTATAGCTACACTTCCATAGCCCCATCAGATTTCCATTCATATCTTTTCTTACAAAAAAGAATGCTGTTCTTCAGTTTCCCAACTGATAATGAATGAATCTGTCCAGTCTCACTATTGCACTTGTGACCGATCTACACACATAATAAGAAGTAAATGGCATTCTTTCAGCCAACTACACTTTGGCTCTTCTCAGTTCAGCATTCATGTACTCTCTATGCCACTTAGCATAGAATAGAGATATGAATGTGAGAAAAAAAATCTATCAGTGTTTCAGTGTCTCTCACGTGCAAGGTGATGATATATGACTCGGCTACTTCATAGTCATAGAAATCAGACAAAGTTATAGGAAATCTCTGAAAAATCTTAAGGTCTTATTCAAAGAGAAAAAAAGATTTAATCATTACCAATTCACACAGCCTTTCACTTTGCACTAACACTGTCCATATTTACCAGATGAGTCTTTAAAACATTTTATATCAAATAGTAAGTAAAAATTCTCAGTACTGACTAAACACAGCTAAAACATTTTAATGAATTATTATTTAGCTTTAAATATGCTATAAAATGCAAATAGTGAGTTAATTCAAAATTAAATACTAACTCAAAGTCCCAAATAAAAAATCTGACAGCTTTCATTTAATCTTGGTTGTAAGGCAAAGTCATCCATCGTTCAGTGTGTTTACCTTGCAGGAGCGTGGCAATCTGGAGAGACTTCTGAGAAGGGTGCTCTTTCAGGATGTCTAAGACAGTTCTTCCTAAACTGTCCTTTATGTTGGCATCAATTCCTGGAGGAAAAGAAAAACTAGATGAACCACTGGAGTGTCCTCAAATGATACTGCCGATATGTAACCGTTCTAATTCCACACGCATATAGGCCAAGCACCAAAGGTGGTTGAAAAACTGTCACAGGCAGAAGATTTAACAAGGCAGGAGCCTCATGTTACTAAGAACTTGGAAAACTCTTGATAAAGAATCAACTCACAAAGTTCTCTGACACAATAACAAAAGACTGCTTCTCAGGGCCCCAGAGTCCCTTCTGGATTGTAGCTAGTAGACTAAATAAATAGTACACTATCAAAGTGAAAAATACATTTAACCTATAACCTGAAACCCTAATGTATAACGGCCAGGTGATCTGTATGTTCTGGATAATATGATTTTAAAATGTTAATATATGAGAATCATACAGAGTATAACGTAGGAACACTCTTAGAATATTTGATATTAACAAATGTTTAAAAGTATAATTATTTTGAGGTTCTATCTACTATGGCTCCAGATATTCCTGCCACTTGTTCATTTTAGAGTATCTTCAACTCTGGCCACATAAGCAAACCTACTATACCGCGTGGCTGAAACACCTCTGCAATCACTTTAGTTCCAAAACGATAGGCCACACTAAAGAATTTATTTTAAGGCAGCAATTAGTTTCTGCCATTCTAATACAGCTCATGAACTTTCCACATACCTGATTTCAGACAAAGCCAGTGTGTAGGATTTTATCCTGGATGTTAGCTCGCTATAAGATTCCTAAATGCTTGCTTAAGTTTATGTGAGAATAGTACACACTTAATAATTTATGTGTTTAATTGGTTGTCTCAGGTCATCTGTTCTGTCACTGTGCTGCATGTACAGTCAGATAACGTGGCATTTTGGCACAGTGAAAGCAGAACAACTGCATAATGTCGGGTATTTTCTTCTATAGAGCAAATGAAACACACTACAGTACAGAACACGATTCACATCTGCTGTCGACAGCATCATCTATTTGTGAAAATATCTCCCAACTCTTAAAAATTCCACCTCAATGGCAACTTTATCTCATTGTGGTCAGAATATCCACAGAAGATAAATAAGCCTACCTTTTTTTTTCTTCAAAATATTCCCTCTAAAATATTCCTTTTAAAAATAATCTCCTGTAGCCAATGAACAATAGCTACTTGGCTGTTGAGTAATCAGAGATCGTGTTCTAAGGAAGAGACTCATATTTCTGTTGGCCATGGGTCACAGTGTAAAAGACCAAGAAACCACACAGCTTCCCAAAAGAAGAGATCTTCCTTTTCTCTTGGTGGTTTCTCCCAAATCACTTCAGTATTTACATCAATTTTATCTAAACATCAAGGCCCAATTCTACATGGTATGAATGCCTATCTGCAATTTGGAGGAAAGGGTCATTTGTGAAGAAAGCCACCATTTTCCTTCATCTAACCCTGAAATGGCTGTAGTACCTGGCAAGACAGGCTCCATGAAGAACCATGATAGCTACCTGTTTCTAATAGAACTCGCACCACATCCACCTTCCCAAACAAAGCCGCTTCATGGAGAGCACTCCCCTTTTCTGTCTGAAAAGAAAAGAAAAAGAAAAGGCAGAGCTGCATTGGAATTCCCACAGATTTGCAAGCATTTAGGCATTCAGACACATTTTTCTATAACCTTGGCACTCCGTGTCAGAGAAGCAGTGTCGGTGTATTGGGTGGGGCCAGGGGGTGCTCCAGGAACACAGCCCAGAGGCCCGTGTATGGAAAGCACCTCTGCTTCTGAATAGTGATGCTTTCTGAAGTGGTGTGACATGAGTGACTCACCTTCTCTTTGTCTCAGTTGTGCTCAAGTTATCTAAGAGTGCTAATGCCTACTCCCCAAGGCTTCTCTGAGTCTCTGTGAGTCCACTCAGCCATCATGCATCTATTAAACACGTTTATGTGTCAGAGTGAAGGGAGTATAAACACAGGATTAGCTTCCTGGAGTTTGCATATCTCCACTTCACTCAAGAAGACAAATACGTAAATAAGCACTTGTGATTAATAAAATCTAAACAGTTATAAATGGCTCTAGAAACCTTCATTACCTCTGCTTTCCGCTCCGTACCCTTGAACCTCTGGCTGACCCATACTCTATGCCCCAGGCACACTGGCCTTCTTCTTTATTAATGCTCTTGTCTGCATTTCTCTCTGGAGATCTCAAATGTCCTTTACTCTACAGGCAGATCCACCTCCTGGCCCTTAACTGCTTGCTTTCAATGGTCAACAGGAATCGTAATTATTAGGAGCACTAATTTGAAAACACAATTCTAGCGTGAGCAGTGACATATTCCTGTAATCCCAGCATCTGGGAAACTGAGGGAAAGGGTTACCCCAAGTTCAAAGGCAGCTTGGGCTACATAGTGAGCTCAAAGCCAGTTTGGGACATACATTAAGACCTTAGACAATGGGACTGGAAAGATGGCAGCCAACTGGCTGCTCTACCAGGTAGCTCAGGTTCAATCTCAGGATGCTCATGGCAGATCACAACCCTTAGAGCTCCAGTCCAGGGCATCTGATGCCCCTCTTCTGCCTTCCTCAGACACAAGACACACGCTTGTGCACAGACACACATACAAGTAAAAGACCCATACACATAAAATTATAATAATAAAAATGAAGAAAGAAAGAGAAGAAAGGCAGGAACAGGAACAAAGGGAGAAATGGAAGTAAGGCAGGAAGGAGGAAGGGAAGGATGGAGAAAGGGAGATTCTGGAAGGGAGAGAAGGAGGCAGGAAAGGAAGAAGCAAATCATTAGACTTCTTGACCCCATTCCCTGTTCTAACTTCAGTAGCCAGAGATTAGTGCTCCAAGAATTCCAGTTTCTAACACATTGCCATGATGCCGAGAGCCTAAAGAGTTTACTTTGAGAACCACCAACTACATAATACTCAGAACCTTAGTGTAATATAACTTCATTAAGGAAGCTGTTCTTTGCCCTTGAAATATACTCCTTTTCTTGTGCAGTCCATATTTGTATGTATTTTCTTCCCATAGCAATTATAATAACACATTACAGTTTGGCTTCCTGAATCAACTATGTTCAATGCAAAGGCTAACAACATCTTTGTTTTTTAATTGTATCTGAAAATCTGGAAATATTTCAGAGAGGAGGGGATTTCTTGGAGCTATACAAATGTCCTCTGTTGTGGATTTTTTTTTCTTTCCTAAGAATCATAAAATGACTAGAGTGCAGGGAGCCTTGTGGAAAGGTGGAGGAAAGGATAGAAAGACACAGAGGAGACAGGAGCCCCACAAGACCAGCAGAGCCAACTAACCAGGGCCCAAGGGGGCCTGTGGACACTGAGGCACCAACCAAGAACCATGCATGGACTGGACCTAGGCCCCTACACAGATGGAGCCAAAGGGCAGCTCAGTCCTCATGTGGGTTCCCTAGTAATGGGGATGGGGGCTCACACTAACATGGACTCTGTTGCCTGCTTTTCGATCCCTTTTCCCTGGCAGGGCTACCTGGACAGACCACAGGAGAAAAAGGTTGCCCTCAGTCCTGAGGAGACTTGATGTGCTGGGTAGAGGGCTCCCCTTCTCTGAGTAGGGGAGGGGAGAGAGGAAATAAAGGAAGGGAGGGTGCAGACAGGAGGAGAGGAGGGAGGAAGCTACGACCAGGATATAAAATGAATAAAAGAATCTAACAAATGCTTAGTAGGTCCTCAGTAATTGATATAAATAATATTAATCTGGAAACTATCTTTCTGTATTAGAAGTAACTACTAATTTTATATTAAAACCTCAATTTGATTGAAAAACAATATCCCTATGATAACATAAAATGTAAATGTTTCTTTAATTGATAAATGTGTACTTTAATAAATGTATAGTTAAAACAATCTAAACTAAGCACATTGGGAAGAAAGCTTGGGGCACAATGAATATCAACAAGATTTGTATGTATCTTCAAGAAAGTATGATTCGGGTTCTCGGAATTATAATGTAACTGGTATAGGTGATGATGAAAATGAAAAGTTTATAAATATACAGTTGTTGACTGAAGAAAGATTGAAATTCTCTCCAAAGTATTTCGTACGGACAGAGACATTTTCCCATTCATTGAGAGTAGATAATAAGCATACACTTTAATCTCTGTACGATGGTTTGGGTATCAAACGTTTCTCAGAGGCCATGTGTTAAAGGTTTGGTCACCAGATGATGACCTTTAAGAAGTGGGGCCTAAGAAGATTGTCTGTGAAGAATAATGTGGGACCTGGCTCCTTCCCACCTTTTTATTTAAAAATAAATACTAAAAGAAATTTCTTGTGTGGGAAGAGTGGGTGTGTACCACTGGAAGCGGGGTTTTTTGTGGGATTTCTTCCTTAGCCACTTCCCCATCTTATTTTTTTGTGATGGGTTCTCTCACTGAATTGTTTCAGCTGAATTAGCAGTCGTCGGGCCCCTGGGATCTGCCTGCTTCCACCTGCCAGCTCTGAATTTACAGACACATGCAGCCAAGTCTGGTGTTTAAGTAGGTACTGCATATCCAAAATTGCATCCTCATGCTTACACAACAAACACCACACACCATGAACCGTCTCCCCAACCATTTTTCTCTTTCTGATGAGCTAGTTACCATGAGGTGAGCATGATTCTCATGTGATTCTCACTGTGGTATGTGGCCTTACCATAGACCCAAAGGCAATAGGTAAACAGACAAGATCATGTAGCCATGAACAAAATGAGTCATTCCCCTAGCAAGCTTATTATCTCATATAGTTCGTCATAGCAACAGAGTACAACACAACGGAAAAACTGGATCAACTTCTCCAAATCTAAGGTTGACACAATTGATTGCTTCCTTTGATAAGATAGGATAAGAACTGTTAAAATCGAGTTGTCCTAAGTCCAAGGTAATTGATAGGCACAGGAGACTATTTACCACAGTAATAACACATACCCCATAGTTTACAGATGCCAGCTATGAGCTTTTTCCTTTGAAAGTGTGATTAATTCCCAGATAATTGCACTATTTTCACCATAAGTTATAAAAACTTAAGAATTATTCGTATCTCTCCTTGGCATATGCCCAAAGGACTCAACATCCTACTCTGCAGACACGTGATCGGCCATCTTTACTGCCATTCCATTCACAACAGCTAGGAAACAGAAATAACGTAAATGTTCTCCAAATGATGTAAAGATAATAAAAATTTAGTACATGAATATAATAGAATTCTATTCTACTGAAAGAAGATGAATCCATGAAATTTTCAGGTAAATGGATGAGACGTTATAGTGAGTGAGGTCATCCAGGCCCTGAAAAGCAAACGGCGCATGCTGTCCCTCACACGTGGATCCTAACTCTGAACCTTTAGATGTGGGTACACAAGCTGAATAGCTACAGAAAGAAAGGAAGTTAAAAGTGGGCCATGGGTGAGGAAGAAGGAATTGAGAAGGTAGCAGTAAGGCAGAGGTGCTGAAAGGGGGAAATGGAGGAACAGCACAGAGAAAAGGTGTATGTGCAAGTCAGAGCTTGGCTAACTGGTTCCCCTCCAAGTTTAACATTTCAGCCATAACCCCCTGAGGCCTCCAAAGGAGAAATAAAGAAAGAAAGACTAGACTTTGACTGTAGGAGAAAACAGAGAACAAGGGTGATAAGATAATAGCACAGTGGTAGAGGCGATTAACAGAAAAAACGGCACAGGTAAGAACTATAAGAGGTAAGACTCATGACAAGTGTAGGAAGTAAAAGCCAGTGAAAAAGTAGAACTTTGATGAGGAGAAAAGAAGAAAATACTGCAACAATGTTTAACTCAGGAATAAATATCTCTGGCTCCTTGGTTATTACCATGACACGTTACCATATTATCTCAGGATTAAAACGTTCCGAATAAACATCCCAGTCTTTGCAAGCAAAAATAACATCTTCCTGAGCTGCAGAGCAATAGCTTTTTGTGTTCTACAGGTGTGTCTAAGCATGTTTATTGATGTTTCAATAAAGGTTGGAAATCTGTGTTGAGCTGCATCCATACCTATCCTTGCCTGCGAGCAGGTTAGAGTGCAGGCTGGACAAACACCATGTAACTAAAGCATGTTCATCTACATGCTACTGAACTTTTCAGAACTCCCATCAGATTAGAAGGTGTCTACAGAAGAGAGTCAAATGATAAAAGACTTAAGAATACATGTGGAGAATAGCCAAGGTTTAGAAGATAGTTTAAGCTGAGCAGGGGATAGCAAAATGAGAATATGGCAAGTGTTCAAATGATTCAAAAATAACATTCCTTCCATTCAAAATGGGAATGTACACCTTCTCCTGCTTGGGAACTATCGGCCTCTGTCTTTACCTGTCTTCTCTTTCTTCATTCTGTCTCAAAGGAAGAGTCCTTTCTCCCCATTAAAGCTAATCCTTCATTTGTGTTCTTTATTGCTCTCTGCTTCTTCTTGAATTTTGCTCATCATGCGTCTTCACCATTTGTCTTGCTTCTTCAACCTCAGTCTCTTCATCGGATCTTTCCACTCTCCGTAAATATACGCACCTTCTCACTATCCGAAAACAAAACAAAAACCACAGAAACTTCCTGTGAACTTGC